AAAATGCTGACTAAACCATGAATTTAAAAAAAGGTAAGCATCAGCTTGTGGGACAATCAAAATTAAATCTGCTAGACAAGAGTTTTTTCTGTACTGTCCTCCTCCCAAAACAGACCCACACATTTATGAACACTTGATTTTCAACAAAGGCACAAAGACAATTAAATGGAGAAAGTTCAAATCCTAACTCTCAAATGCTGTTCAAGCAACTGGATATTCTTATGCAAAAAAAAATAAAATTAACTTTGATTCTTACCTTGTACCATATACCAAAAAAAAAAAAAAAAAAAAACTCAAAATGGATCATAGACCTAACTGTAAACTACAAAACTTCTAAAAGAAAACAGTGTAGGAAATCTTACGGTATTGGATGAAACAAAGATTTCTTAGACATAAGACCAACAGTATACTCAGTAAAAGAAAATGTTGATAAGTTGAACTTTATAAAAAATAAAAACTGCTCTTTGAAAAATACTGTTAAGAGAATGAACAGAGAAACCAGATTGTGAGAAAAAGAATTCTCAAAATGCAATAATAAGAAAACAAACAACTCATTATACAATGGGCAAAAGATGTGAATGGATACTTCACCAAAGATACATGGATGGCAGATACATACATGAAAAGATGCTCAACTTCCTTAGTCATTAGGGAAACACAAATTAAAACCACAATGAGATACCTAAACACCTATTAGAATGGCTAAGGGTGTTGGCAAAATGTTGAGGAACTGGAACTGCTGCTGGAAATGTAAAATGGTATAACCACTTTAAAAAACAATTCCGTAGTTTCTTAAAAAGTTAAACATACACCTACCGTATGCTCCAGCTATTCCACTCCTATTTACTCCAAAGAAGTAAAAGCATACGTTTGTACATGAATGTTCATAGCAGCATGCACTAATATGGACTCCTATGACAAGACACTCCTGGGGATCTATTCATCACACCAGAGAAAAATTAGGTGGAATGTCTGAGTCAAAGGCAGGAAAATCCCCTTGAAGGTTCATCCCCACACCCCTACTGTGGACAAGCTCCAGGCTGCAACACCAAGACCAGTAGGAAGAGAAATGCAAAGTCTGAAGGGAGGAAGCTGAGAGTTCTAATACTCTCATCACAAAACTCCCATGAGTCTTTGGGAAGGCATGAACTATGCCCCTGACAATCTGCTGTTCTCTAATAAAAAGCCATTTATTATAATAATAGACTATCTCCCAGGTCTGTGGTAAGAATCAGCAAATAAGAACTAAATAAAGCATTTGGAAATGTTAAAGTATTGAAGTGTTACTAAAACATACTCTAAGCATCGTTTATTTCCCATTGGGCTCTTATTCTTTTCTTAATAATGTTCAGACATAATGAGATTTGGAAATATGTTGACAGAGAAATTTAAGTTTTCCTTTCATGGCTGTAAAACATAATCTCTATGGCCTCAAAGGAAAATTACTACTGTTTTAACTCAAGCATGCTGTTCCTTCCAAATAAACTCTCACCTCTCCCTCTCCCTCCAGGCAGAAATGGATTCCTATAACATAGGCCTGGGGAGTGGTGCACTCATCTTCCAAGGAACCATTGGGTTATTTTTGCTTATTGAAAAATGAAGCTATTTTGGTACTCCCTTTTCAGGCTGGCTGCCAACCAGGACCCGGAAACATGCAGGCTGCCATCTGCCGTACCCTGGCTGTTCCTGACCTACCATCCGCCTCCAACCAGGGATGCCTGGTATCTGCCAGGTTAGCTAAGCAACTGAGGAAAGATCCTGGAGGCCAAGGTAGAGCATGGACAATTCAGCCTGCCACGCAACCTTGACTTCCGTTCATTGCCAGGTGGCATGACATTCTCCATGACAACACGGAGAGCTGTATTCTGAGAAAAACAGACCTTCCCGTGGAACTCCACACAGCTTCTTCTTACTGTATGACAATTAATTCAGCATCCCCCATATTTTTGCTAAAAATCAAAAGGATAATATATAGAATATATGCTATATATGTTATAAATTTCTATTATTTACCCTTCTGGAATTTCCATTATGTTGCAGATTAAATAATTAGTTCTGATTATTGATGCTTTTATAAAAAAAGGAGTAAGTTTAATTTCATGTATCTCTAAACTGCAATGGTTCCAAAATGATTTGAAAGCCTAAATAAGCCTTTAAAAATGTAATTCGCAAACACCCGCGATGAAGACGAGGATGTCACATGGAAAGAAGAAATTTTTATGGCTTGAGTTTACATTCCACTAATGCAGCAATCAAATACTAATACAGAATTGTTAAAGCTTGTTATAACCATGAAAATAACGGCTTTTACTGATGCCACAATTTTACTGGTGACATGCAGTTTTATCTCCCAAAAATGGAGACACGGAGCTGCCTCAGGGGCACACTTGTCTGCATGTGTGCGGCACTCATTGACTTGAGGAGTCCTGAGATCAGAATTAATGACTACATAGTCCAGCAAAGAGATACTGATAAAAGTAAACTATATATAAGCTTCCATCATTCACCATAAAAAAACATTGGCCTCAAGCAGACAAGCTCCAAAAGGAAATCTATCATAGTAGGAAAAGCTAAGTAAGATCATGGTTCTTAAACAAACAGCAACAGCAGCAACTGAGATGGAGACATCTTCAAGACACAAACTTAAAATGCAAGGTATCGAATATTATGTGTGTATGTGTGCGTATACATATACACACACATATATACCACCTTCTGTGTTTAAAATAGGGGACAGGAGTGGAAAGGAAATGTTTACACTGCATATCTTACTTAGAATTTTAATCATGTAAATGCATTTTCCATTCAAAAAATTAAATTAAATAAAAAAATAGACATATATGATTACGCATATATGCCTGTATATGCACAAACTAATCATGGAAGAAGAGTCAAGAAACAGTTGTCTTCAGAGGGGGATAAGCAAGACTGGGAATATGATTAAAAAAAAAAAAAAAAAAGATATACTTTTTATTGTTTTTTGTTTTTTTTTTTTCTTTTGGTTTGAAAATTTTAAACTATGCACTTGAATTACCTTTCCAATATAAAACAATTTAATTAAAACCAAAACTATTGGTTCAAAAATATTATTTAAGGTTAAAGAAATGCAAACAGAAATAAAATAAGTGACAAACAAAAATCAAGTGATGAGAGAGGAGAGGTAGAAGCTAGTTTATGTGCACTAAAATATATTTTTTACAGCAAGGCAGCAACAGATATTATCTAAAGATCGAACAGATACATTCCATCAAAGAGAGCTCTCTGTATACTGATAAGATTCATGTTGGTAATAATTAAAAGAACAAAAAATCAGAACAATTTTAAATAGTTATCTCAGCAAAATGGGGTTGGGAATTAAAGAATGGGAAAGAGTAACTTTTTCTTTTCCATAGTACTTTTTCTCTACTGTTTTCTTTTCCATGTACTCATATAGCATTTATAATTTAAATGAATAACCATCTCTGTAAAAAAAAAAAAAAAGTACTTGAAAACCTATCATTGAAATACATTTATGAAAATATATGAGTGTGAAATGAAAATATATTCTTGTTAAAGTTTAATGTTAATTTTTAAAAAAAATATGTGTATCTCTTAGATGGCTAGTTAGCACAAAGCCACAATAGTTCATGTTCAATGAACTGGATGACTTGGCTGGGGTAATGAATGATACCATGTTATGATATGTTATAGTATTTTATTCCTCTACTTCTTACCTTCCACTGTTATTAAAAAGACTGGATTTAGTAAGATTTCTTTCAATTAATTCTAGCCAGAACAAAGACCATATAAAAGGTCTATATTCAAGAAACCTCACGATTTAACCATGGTACTCACTATGGTCAATAAACAATATAATTTCCAGGGCAAAAGAAAGATGGCTAATTATTTTTTCCATATCCTTTCTTACTCTCTCCTGGTAATCCATTATTAATGTGTTTTGAGAAGAAGCAGTAGAACTGTGTTAGAACAAAGAAACCTAGCTACTCTTCTAAATCTTATCATAAAAGTTCTACTTTTTTTTTTTTTCTTTAAGGAACCTTGACTCAAAAGCTTAACATAGTCTATCAAAAACTTTATGATAGGAAATATGATTGGGATTTTACTTATATTATAGTTCTAGTGAAATATAACATTTGTTAATTTATATAAGAAGCTTAAATATATGAAAAAATTAACAGAATCTGCTAAAACTTAGGAATACTAATAATAGAAATAAAGGTGGAATATTCAATATAAAACTAATAAAACTAAAAAAATAATAATTTATATATGAATTATATGCAGAGTTCTAGTCAATAACTGATTGCTGTCTCCCATTAAGACAGTAGCTTTACCACATTTCTGACAGGAAACCACAGACATTTAATATTTTAAATTCCATTTTATAGCGAAGAAAGAGAAGCTAAAAGACAAATGGCAGGGCAAAGACAGTGTAAATGGCTATTTATCAAAAATGAACAGTAAAAGGTCTTTTCACTAAAGTAGAAACCAATGAGAAGCTTCAAAATGCAAAAAATCATTGAAAAGTACCAAGAGCAGAGGAAGAACTAAACAAGTTGTTAGAAATACAAAAAAATATTTGAACTTAAATGATTCTTAGAAGTCTTTCTACAGATAAGGAAAACGAGGCCAAGAAGGAGAATGAATTTTCTAAAGCCACATAACTAGGGAGTGACAGAGACAAGCCCTGGAACACAGGTCTCTTGATTCGCAAGTCATGAATTCTGAAAGAACAGCAGACGTATTGTACAGCCAGGAGATAACAAGAAAAAGGCAGAGACAAAGTTTTGGTGCCCGACTACAGAAAACATTACTTTGGCTAGCCCTTCCTTGAAACACTACATCTCAAAACTGATGGGAGCTAAAAACAAAAAACATGGAACCAAGGGTCTTCTGATATTTACATATTTCGCCATCAATATTTTAACCAGCAAGATGAAGATAACTGTTTGCAAAGATCCATATTATGAGAATATAGCTAACTGAAATACAAAACTTACTTGTAAAGGTAATACTCTGCATGGTCTATCTCTTCTCGAGATGAAATGTTGTCCACAAACTAAAAGAGAGAAAAAGAAATCCTTGGTTGAGTACCAATTATGCCATATATTGGGCCTAGTTGACACATTGAACTTAATGAAGAGAAAACACGCATTTTATTCGAACAACGTTCATGCTTACCGAACAATGTTCCTGCCTAGCACACAATGTCCACGTGTTGTGGCTCCATCCTTAAAACCCTTTTATGCTAATGCAAACAAAGAATATAACAACCTTGAACAGAAAAATTGATTGAAAGCTACACATGAACCTTGCTCAGAACAAAAGGAGAGTTCCTCTTGCTGTATTTATAACTGTTGTTGTTAGGGGACATTGCTGGTTCTGACTCATAGTGACCCTATGTACAACAGAAGGAAACACTGCCTGGTCCTGTGTCATCCTCTCAATCACTGCTATGTTTGAACTCACTGCTACAGCCACAGTCAATCCATCTCATTGAGGGTCCTCCTCTTTTTCACTGACCCTCTACTTTACCAAGCATCATATCCTTTTCCAGGGACTGGTCCCTCCTGATAACATGTCCAAAGTATGTGAGATGAAGTCTTGCCATCCTTGCTTCCAAGGAGCATTCTGGCTGTACTTCTTCCAAGGCAGATTTGTTCATTCTTCTGGCAGTCCATGGTATATTCAATATTCTTTGCCAACACCATAATTCAAAGGCGTCAATTCTTCTTTGGTCTTTTTACTCATTACTCAGCTTTCACACTCATACGAGGCAACTGAAAATACCATGGCTTGGGTCAGGTGTACTTTAGTTTTCAAGGTGACATCTTTGCTTTTTAACACTTTAAAGAGGTCTTTTGCAGCAGATTTCTTCAGTGAAATACGTAATCTGATTTCTTGACTGCTGCATCCATGGGCGTTGACTGTGGATCCAAGTAAAATGAAATCCTTGACAACATCAATATTTTCTCTGTTTATCATGATGTTCGTTATGGTCCAGTTGTGAGAATTTTTGTTTTCTGTATGTTGAAGTGTAATCCATACTAAGGCTGTAGTCTTTGATCTTCATCAGTATTTCAAGTCCTGTTTACTTTCAGCAAGGAAGGCTGTATCATCTGCATATCACAAGTTAATGGGTCTTCTCCAACCCTGATGCAACATTCATCTTCATACAGTCCAGCTTCTCAGATTATTTGCTCAGCATACAGACTGAATAAGTATGGTGAAAGGATGCAGCTCTGAAACACACTTTTCTTGATTTTAAACCATGCAATATCCCCTTTTTCTGTTTGAAAGACTGCCTCTTGGTCTATGTATAGGTTCCACATGAGCATAATAAAGTGTTCTGGAATTCCCACTCTTCAAAACGTTATCCATAATTTGTTATGATCCACACAGTCGAAAGCCTTTGCATAGTCAATAAAATACAGGTAAACATCTTTCTGGTATTCTCTGTTTTCAGCCAGGATCCATCTGACATCAGCAATGAAATCCCTCTTTCCACGTCCTGTTCTGAATCCAGCTTGAATTTCTGGCAGTTCTCTGTCGATGTAATGCTGCAACTACTTTTGAATTATCTTCAGCAAAACTGACTTGTATGTGATGTTAATAATATTGTTTGATAATTTCTGCATTCTGTTGGATCACCTTTCTTTGGAATGGGCACAAGTATGGATCTCTTCCAGTTGGTTGGCCAGGTAGCTGTCTTCCAAATTTCTTGACATAGATGAGTGAGCACCTCCAGCCTGCATCCCTTTGTAGAAACATCTCAGCGTATTCCATCAATTCCTGAAGCCTTGTTTTTCACCAATGCCTTCAGTGTAGCTTGGACTTCTTCCTTTAGTACCATCGATTCTTGATAATATGCTACCTCCTGAAATAGTTGATCATCAACCAATTCTTTTTGGTATAGTGACTCTGTGTATTCCTTCCATATGCTTTTGATGCTTCCTCTGTCGTTCAATTTTTTGCCCATAGAATCCTTCACTATTGCAACTCAAGGCTTGAATTTTTTCTTTAGTTCCTTTAGCTTGAGAAATGCTGAGTGTGTTCTTCTCTTGGTTTTCTAACTCCAGGTCTTTGCACATGTCATTATAATACTTTACTGTCTTTGCCAGCTACCCTTTGAAATCTTCTGTTCAGCTCTTTTACTGGTTATGTTTATAGTCATTAGTATCTTTTTATCTTCCGTCTACATTCCATGCTCTAAATACATCGGAACACAATGGCTGAAAGGATGAAGACTCTGATGGCTGAAAAAACATGGCCCAGGGGACAAAAACTCAAATTTTCACCCAAGAATTCAATCGTGTCATCATTTTTTCTACTCTAAGTTCTGCTTAAGAACCAGTCAATCTCTGATTTCTCTACCAACAAAATCTCCCTTCATACTATAACACTCCTGAGTATATTCTCTAACTACAGACCAAATAAACAAATAGAAAGGGCTATTCCAAGGATTGATTCTACCCTGAAGTAGAGATTCAGAGGCAAAAAAGATCAAGTAGGAGATGATGCATGCTGGGAATAAAATTAAAACTTCACAAAGAGGGAGAGGGAATACAACAGGGGACCTATGGATTTGATTTAGAATACTTTCCCTCTCCCATTAAAGGACAGATAAAATGTGATTCAAACACAGGACCTGAGACTGAAAACCAGCTCTGCTGATTACCTACTGTGTGGCATAAACTGACAGCATAGCCCCTTTGGGACTTAGTTTCTTCATCAGCATAAGCAGGATAAAGGCACCTACTCTAAAGACTATAAGGCGCCAATGAGAAAATTTATGTGAAAGCTCTTTACACTTTGACGTATTATCTAAACAAGTATCAGATATTACAACATATAGGGTTTTATCTGTCATGGAAGGGATGAACCAGTGGCCTTTCAGGTTCCCTCCAATCTTAGAATATGAGTCTATAAAAATTTAGGTTATGATCTAGTTAAAATATTTTCCTATTAAAAGGAGACTATAATAGCAAGAGGCAGAAGGGTAAGACCAGAAATGAAAAAGGAGATAGTTTCTTTTCCCTCTTCTAAATAATGCAATACTTTAAATTTTACGGTGCCATTAATTTCTACAAAGAGCTTTCACAACCAAGATTTCATTTTAGCATCACATCATCCTTACGAAGATACTCATGTCCAGAGCTTCAAACCAGTTCCTCCCAATTCAGTCATGGCTGAGGAAGTGACACTGGAACAGATCTGAATTTTAAAAATTTGGGTGAACCTGAACCATAACCAGAGTGGGAAAAATTATGGGCCAAAGCCCTGGTAGAAACTGAATCTCTCTCTTAGAAAACAAGGGCAGAGTACGCGTTGCATAGCAATCAAATCTCCTGCCCTTAGGATTTTGCATTGAGTCCGAAATAGCTGCGCCCCACTCAAAGGTCCACCGCATAGCTTTGAATGTGTGTCGCTGTCCTCAGTCCTGGCAATAACCCAATCTCATGCATCAGGCTCCTGAAAAAGCTCACCACGCCTCTTCCAAGTCTCCCATTCCAGGGCTTCAACCCGTAATTCCTCCTGTTCTGATTATGGTTCTGGATCACTCAAATTTTAAAAATTCAGGTCTCTTCTGGTTTCATTTCGTGGGCCATGACTGAACTGGTTCAAACCAGTTCAAAGCCCTGCTAATGTCCCCATACTGGAAAGGAGGAAATTGAGGGAGGCCTTGCTACTCAATGTCACAAAGTAAATTCATGGTAAAGACAAGAGAAGATATATTTGAGGGAGTCATCAGAAAAGAACTTTGATGTCACAGAGATCTGGGTTTGAACTCCAACTTTTCCACTTACGAACTGTGCGAACTTGGATAAGTTACTTAATCATTTGGAGCCTTATCTATAAAATGGAGATAATAATATTTATCTCAAATGGCTACTGTTAGAATTAATAGAGATAACACATTAAGAACCTAGTACAATAGTTGGCATAAAAACCAAAACCAAACCCGCTGCCGTTGAGTCGATTCCAACTCATAGCAACCCTACAGGACATAGAAGAAATGCCCCATATGGTTTCCAAGGAGCGCCTGGTGGATTCACATTGCAGACCTTTTGGTTAGCAGCTGTAGCTCTTAACCACTACACCACCAGGGTTTCCATAGTTATCATAGAAGGTGTTAAATAATGGCTACTATCAATTACTATTCCTGATTCTTAGCCTAATATTATTTCCCTCTCCTTCACTCTGCAGCAGCTTAACATTAACATGCATTCTTTATAGACCTTCTCAGCTAACAAAAACACTTCTAATATTAACAAGTAAATATTACTTTGAAAAAATGCATCAGCTTTTTAAAAAAAATCATGGTATAATAGAGCAGAGTATCATATCTTGGAAAAATATTAAGATAAATCAGACACAGAACAGTGATTACTGACATCAGAGTCTGGTAAATTTATTACATTTTAATTCAGCCAAAGAAATTTGCTACCTGTCTTGGTTATCTAGTGCTGCTATAACAGAAAAACAAGTGGATGGCTTTAACAAAGAGAAATCTATTCTTTCACAGTCTAAACGGCTAGAAGTCTGAAATCAGGGCACTAGCTCCAGGGGAAGGCTTTCTCTCTCTGTTGGCTCTGGGGGAAGGTCCTTGTCATCAATCTTTCCCTGGATGAGAAGCTTCTCAGCGCAGGGACCCTGGGTCCAACGACACACCACGCTCCCAGTGCTTCTTTCTTGGTGGTATGAAGTCCCCATGTCTCTCTGCTCACTTCTCACTTTTATATCTCAAAAGAGATTGGCTTAAGACACAATCCAATCTTGTAGATTGAGTCCTGCCTCATTAACATAACTGCCACTGATCCCATCTCACTAACATCATAGAGATTAGATTTACAACACATAGGAAAATCACATCAGATGAAAAAATGGTGGACAAACATACAATACTGGGAATCATGGCCTAGCCAAATTGACACACATATTTTTGGGGGACACAATTCAATCCATGACACTACCTCAGCATAAAATATCTATTAGTAACTGCAAAGACATAACATACTCTGGAAAAATATTTCCTATAAAGGGTATTGTTTATTTATACAGCCTCATCTATATACAGAGCCTTTCTTCCGTTCTTCCTTTTTCTTCTTTTAAAATATATATATTTAAATTTTCTTACCCGTGATATTGTCAAAGAACTAACAGGCAACTTTCTCTCATATGTTTTATCCATTAAAGATGCTAGATCAGCTGAGAAGACAAAGAAGAAAAAAAGAACCTTGTTAAATATACATATTTCCTGAGAAAAATCTAACAGATACAACTCATGCCAGGTGGTGGCCAACATTATGAAATTAGTATTAAAACAGATGCTCTTTCTTATTCTTTTTTAGAAATTATATTTTATATAAATTAAAGACAATAAAGGAATATTAGGAACATTTAAAAAATGATTAATTGGAGTAAGGATTATTGAAAAATCCTAGGATATATTCAGTTTTTTAAAAAACAGATCAATGAAGTACCTCTGAAAGGAGACACAAGTAAGTGCCAAGGGAGGAAGTCAAGGGAGGGAGCCTCTTGATTGCTTACACATTTATTCCTTGTACTGTGAACCAGGTAAACATACCAGCTATTCAAAAAAAATTAAAATTTATCAGATGAGTTTTAAACATTCTCTGAACCAACCAGAAAGGCACCCTGGCTACCTTTAATGATTCTCAGCCTGAACTGTTCCTATTTTGGCTCATTTTAGCAGAACATTCGTAGGAATACTTGGTATTCCTGAAATTACACTTTTATCTCAGATTCCATATGTAGATATGCCTACCCTGATTTCTGCCTTTAACTCTAGGCTTGTATTTCCAACTGCAGAGGTAGCATCTCCATTTGGGCATCTAATAGGTATCTATCTAAACATGACATATCCCCTTAATTCCCCAACCTTCCACCCCAAACTGGCTTTTCCCCAAGCTTTCTCACCTCATAAATGGCAACATTAACTGGTTTACTCAGGCCAAAAACCTAGATGTCATTCTTGACCCCTGTTCTTTTTCACAATCTATAACCAATCCGTTGGCAAACTTATAGACTCTACTATAAAGATGTATTTCTCATCACCTCCACTGCTAAGCTATCAATCTTTCTCTCTTTGCTTCAGTTATTGTCTCTACCCTCTACACAGTCCGACTGATCCTTTTAAAAGTTCAATCAGATCCTGTCATTCTTTTGTCTAACTAGCCAATGATTTCTCATCATACTTATGATAAAATCCAAAATATTTTTATGACAAACAAATGTCTACATAATCTGGTTTGCAGGGTTCTTTTTTCTTCTGTCTCTTACACTAGAAGTAAAATCCACAAAGGCAAGAACTTAATTTATTGATATATTCTCAGTCCCAAGAAAAGTGCCATAAAAGGCACTCGATAAATATCTAAAGAAATGAACAAAAGGAAGGAAGAAAGAGAGGGAAGGAGGAGAAAAAGGGAGGGAGGAAAAATAACTGCTTGGATTTCCAAGTTATTTTTTACTCCTTGGTGGAAAAAATTAGTACTAAGCAATAAGGAGACACTCAAGAGGCAATCGATTAAAAAGTTTTTGTTGAAGACCTATTGCTGTGCATTTAGCACTGTAATGTAACTACACTTTTTTAAAATTCTAACCATTTTTTTTCCTCTCTCCTAGGGAAGGAGCCCTGGTGGCGCAGTGGTTAAGTGGCAGGCTGCTAACTGAAAGGTCAGAGGTTTAAACCCACCAGTCTCTCTGGAGGTCGCTCTGAGTGAGAATCGACTTGATAGCAACAGGTTCCCTAGGGCAATTCTCTCAATGACTCAGTAGCTACTAGGGGAAACAATTTTGCGAAACCCCTAAAACCTGATATAATGCAAAAGTAATCAGTGTTTTTTTTTTTTTTTTTACTATCTTAAAGGGATTGATGCCGGGTTATTGAAGAATATTCAAAAAAAAAAAAAAAAAAAAACAAGTCCCTAAAACCTGTTCACAATAAGGCAAATTAATACTGTTAAATCTACTTGCTCACAAAACAGATATTAAACAGCTCTCTAATGACACCGAATCTTTATGATCACTTCGTAATAAAGGCTGTTGTTTTGAGATGATAGGCAATATATGGAATCAGTTCGCTTATACTCAAAGTTTATGCCTTAACAAAAAAAGCAAGATAAGGATCTACTGATTTAATTAAAATCACACAGGACTGTTTCCTCATGAGTTTCACGTAGCATAGAAATGTATAACTAAACATTGGGTTGAGTTAGCTTCACTGGTCACCTCTGTCTGTGCTAACTCAAGATTCCGTTTTAATCCTTCACACCAAGGCATCTTCACACCAAGGCACCTTCAGTCAAGTGAAATCGGCTAGGACCTCAAAAAGACAACAGCTGCAGAACCAGCATCTGATGAATAACATTTGCATATTGTGAGTCAGAGAAAGGTTTGCTGCTAAATATAATATGTGACCAATCACTGCACATTAGAGCACTGATGTGATGAATGAGGCAGAAAACTGCACAGAGCAGGGATGGTCAGTGAAGCTGGGGCAGCTGCGCCACACAGGGCAGCGCTGCAGGCTTCTGGACTCTGCTTCGGCAAAGTGACACTTCATGTTTCAGTAAGGGCCATCAGACGTACAGGTTTTGTTTAAGGGATGTGCCAAACGACATGCTTTCTTGCCTGTTACTCAACTACTTAGGAATATATATTGCAGCTGGTGGTTGAGGACAACAAAGACTAAATGGGAAAACTGATCTGAAGTTTTAATTTTTCATTTAACAAAACTTAAGCTGTACAGACAATATGGAAGTATGCCCAGAAAATGAAATGAGTATACTTTACATATGTGCATCTACATATCTCTCCATATAAATATACATATAATAAATGTATATAAATGCCCTTCTCGTTTAAAGGCAACAATACCATTGATGATCTAAGGACGTAAAATATTAGATTCCTAGGCCTCACATCTAGAGCCTAGAGAGAGATTCTGATTCCACAGGTTTGGGGTGAGGCCATGGGAATCCAAAATTTTAAACAACTGCCCCAGGAGATTGTGATCAAGCCAATCAAGTACTAGAGTCAATTATGTTTGAGAATGACCACAGAGGGAACACAAAATAAGTCTTTGATATTGCTGCTTAGCTCAGAGAGGATATTTAATGGAATTCTGTTTCTGGAATAAGGTGGACTAAGTATCATTTTAAAAAAATTCTCCTACACTAAAAATAAAACAGCTTAATAAAATACTGAAAAAAATTTTTTTTCAAATATATGACTGAGCTTTCTAGAAGGCAGATATAATTATCAGAGGCCAAAGGTAAGTGGGAACACAAGTCTTGAGTATCTAAGGGAATACTGAGGGTAGCAGCTACCCTAAGAGGGTCTGCAGATCTCCAGTGACAGAGACCTTTGATTTTAATGGCTTGTGGGGGACAAAAGATAAAACCGAGGCCTTTGTAAGTTGAGAAGCTGTTTCAGAGATCCTTAAGTAAAGCCAGGACCACCTAGGGCTATACCTATAGTAAAAAGGTGAACTACAAGAAAATGCACCTTGCAAAGGTAAACAAACAGCAAGTATAGTTGTCCCCTGAGGTTTCTCTAAACTAAAGTCAGCCCAAATGCCTCTTTAGGTTACTAATTCACACTTCCAATGTGAGCCTTGGTAGAGCAGTAGTTAACAGCTACAGCTGTTAACCAAACGAACAGCAGTTCGAATCCACCAGCCACTCTTTGGAAACCCTATGGGGAAGTTCTACTCTGTCCTATAGGGTCACTATGAGTCAGAATTGACTCGATGGCAATTGGTGTTTGGTTATGTGATTCAAAATATACCAAACTGAGAATATTGTTTAAAGTTGTCTTGATCTGAAAGTGGTCTCAGGAACCTAGGAAAAGTAAACACAGAGTAAAAGAAACCAAACAAAACAATACTACCTACTGTATGACTGACTGCATTTACATAAAATTCTAGAAAATGCAAACTAAACTATAGTGACAGAAAACATTTCAGTAGTTGCCTAGGGACTTTCGGGAGGAGGGAAAAAGTAGGATGGCAGGATTAGAAAAAAGTAGGAGAAAACTTTGGGGGTGACATATATGTTAATTATCTTAATTGTGGTGATTATTTCAAGGACATATACACATGTGCTATGTCAAAACTTATCAGATTGTACACTTTAAATGTAGTACGTACAGTTGATTGGATATAAAGTATACCTCAGCAAAGCTGTAAAACAGAAACTCTATACATAAGTTAAAGAGCAAGTGAGGCAAGAATTAGTAAACTGAAAGGTAGATCTGAAGAAATTATCCAGAATCAGCAAAGACATATAAAGACGGAAAATATGAAAGAGGAGTTAGAAGACATAGAAGACAGAATAAGAAGGTCTAATATACATCTGATTGAATTCCCAAAAGAAGTTAATAAAGAGAACGGGGAAAAATAATACACGATGAGATAGTGGCTGATAATTTTTTAGATTTGATAAAAGACATGGGTTCTCAGATTCAGGAAATACATAAAATCAAGTCAAATAAGTAAAATTAAAGCCATATCATAATACATTACAGTGAAACTGAAGAATAAGGGGATCTTAAAAGTAGCCAGAAGGAAGATAACTTACAAAGAAAACATAATTATACCAACAGGTGTTTTCTCAGTAGGAACAATGGAAGGCAGAAAATGTTCAAAGTGCTGAGAGTAAATACTATCAACCTAAAATCATACACCTAGCAAAACTATCTTTGAAGAATAAGGGCAAACTACAGATATTTTTAGACCAAAAAAAAAAACAAAAACCACAGAGAATTTACCAGCAACAACCACTAAAGGGACTTCTAAAGGATGTGTGTTAGGAAGAAGGAAAATGACCCCTAAAGGTAGACTTGAGATGCTAGAAAGAATGGTGAGCAAATAAATTAGTTAATATGGGTAAATCCAGGGGGAAAAAATCCACTGTCTTGTGTTTTTCTTGTTTAATGCTAAAACTTGAAGATTAGATGGTAATATATGGTTGGGGTGTGTCTGTGTGATGCTATCTAAATATACTATCTAAAGGATAGTAGAATGTGATTAACATCAGAATTTAAGTTAAATATGTATATTAAAAGTTATAGGATAACCACCTTTAGAAGAGTATATAATTTCCAGACCAATGGAGGGGTTAAAAAAACACACATATAAAAACAAACGAGACAGGGCAATTCACAAAGTAATGACAGAAATAAAT